TGAACCTGTTCTCACCCACCTGATGCTTTTACTAATTAGCTTCTTGGCTGGGTGGCAATTTGGGGCAAGTGCATGCAAGCTGGATTCACAGGGGAGCCCACATTCCACTCTGCCATTTCGCAAGCCACTGGGATACTACATTGCTCCTCTTGGCTTCTTTCCCTCCCAGGAGTCCTGCTCTGCCCTGGTGGAAAAATGGGAGCAGGAGAACTTTTCATTAAATGGAGAGATTTCATGGGGCTTTGGTGTTTTGTTAGTTTTATTTATTTATTTTTTTAGTGGGTTGTCTGAAAACATTCATGTTACTTGACCCATTAATTTCACTTCCGGGATACTATCATTAGGAAACAATCCAAAATATTGAAAAAAAGGCTAAATCACAAAGATGTTTTTGTAACATGATTTAGACTAGCAGAAAATGAAAAGCAATTTAAATTTCTTAATAATTGGAGAATGGGTTGGTGAATCTTGATACACTGGTTTAATGGACTGTTACACACAATGTTTGTTAAGAAGTCTATGCCACAGCATGGAGAAAGTGCTGATGACTAAGTGAAATGTAGGACCCAAAATGATACATACATTAATATTCCACTGCTTTGTAAAAATACAAAAACACATAGGAAAAAACTAAAGGAAATATTCTATAATGCTAACAATGCTTGGGTTGAGGTGCTGGGATTATGAGTGTTTTTTTTTCTCTTTGTTATCAATATTTGCATGTTGTGCTTATATTACTTGTAGAATAAAGTAAAAATAAAAGTGGGTAGTATGCCAGTGAAGACAGGATATTGGTAAAGCAGGCAGCTTGTAGGTATATTCTTAAACTTTTCTCAGTTTATGCTCAATCTGATTTCATGGACTGTTTATACTTTTTCTGAGGCAAGAAGAAATAGGACATTATGGTGTGATCTGTTCCTCCCTTGGAATGGGTGTGCGTGGATTCTCCTTGTTACTCAGCGTTTCACTGTTCATGTACACTTTAGGGTTAATCACCTTTGTTGCCAATTACCATGTTCAAGCTAATTGTTTTAGAGTTCAGAAGAGTAAAACTACCAAATTGACCACGCCTTGAGTTATCATCTGTGAAACAGATAACTGACACTGGTCCAAGATTTGGAAATGCCAAGGACTTACTGTGGTTCTTAAAATAATTTTCCAATCTAATCTAGATAGAAGTAGAGATAGGGGCAAAGAGGTGGGGCCGACTCAAAGCCTGTTCTTAAGCTAGCGCTGAACTTAAATAACAGCAAGTGCCAAGTTGGTATGATGTTGACAAGACCTAGAACAGGCTCCTGGAAACATTGATCAGTGGAGATTCCTGTTGCTCTCCAACCTACCTGCATATTGTAGCCTAAAGAGGAGAGATTTTGCAGGGTCCTTCTGCCATACTTCTGGCTAAACGCCTTCCTCTTACGTCTTTGAATTTTCCCTCCTGCCATTAACATTTTACTAACAATGGAACTGGAAAATTGAAGGTAGCATTAAGCCAGCTTTATAATCTGTTAAAACCAGAGTCAATTCAATTTAATTAATATTTATTAAACATCTTCTATGTACGAGCTAATATGCTAGATAATATATTGTAGTGGAAGTGCTATTACCCTAGGAGTAATAAAACCTGCACTCTGGTCCTGGCTCTGACCACTTTTAAGCTCTAGCAGCTTCATCTATAGAAAGAGAGGGTTGAAGCACTAGATGGTCTCCCAAGAGTCTTTCTACTTCTAGCCTTCACTTATCTAAGGACACCTGCACAAAAGACTGAGTTGCAAATAAAGGGTTTAAAAGAAAAAACCCTTACTTCATAAAACTGCTGTACCCTTCTAGAAAAAGACCCCTTTGAAAAAATAATATTCATAGATAATGTTTATTGAGCCTTTACTATGTACCAGGCTCTGAGCTTAGCACTTTACATAGATTACTTCCTTTAATCTTTATAACAACCCTTTGAGGTATGAGCACTGTTAGCCCTATTTTGCAGATGATGAAATTGAGACTTAGGGAGATCAAGAGACATGTATGAAGTCAGTTAGTAAGTCATAGATCCAGGATTCGGACTTGGGCAGTGTGACTCTAGACCCAGGCTATTAACCATGGTATTTATACTGCCTGCCCATTACCCAGTGAAAGTTTAGGGATAACCTGCAAAGGGACCATTGTTTCTTACCTCCCAAAGGAAGCAATTAGTATCTTGCATTGCAAGACTCTTGGGAAAGCAGTTCTCTAGGACACTTCAGGCCACAATATGGACCAACATGAGAGGACATGAGAGAATTCAGTGGGCTGTTTTGCATCTTTGTGTGGGAGGTTGTGTGTGGGTGTGGGTGTGTGTGGGTGTGTGTGTGTGGGTGCGTGGGGGTGGGTGGAGGCCGTGTGTGTGTGTTTTATGCACAAATACATGTACGTAGATATAGGGAAAACTTTGAACTGGCTTCTTTCCATTTAGCTGGAAGTAAAATGGTATGAAACAAGTTGACCAAGATTTAGCAGAGAAACAGGTTTCCTAGACTTAGATTCTTTATCCTGATTGGTGGAGTGAGGGGTGGGGGCAGAATAGGAGGAGGAGATAGAAGGGATAGAAAGAAGATCTTATAGGCAGATTTCAAAATTAATTGAAGGGTAGGAATTCGGTCTGCCCTGCCCACCTTGTAATGTTGATTTTCTGGGTCTTAGCTTGGGAAATATCTGGGCTCTCACTAATGTGTTTCATTTTGGCTCGGCCCCTCAGGTATACTGGGAGTGGCCGATGACTGCAAATGGAGTAAGAATTTAGCTTGGCCTTGCTGCCCTGTTGTTGTTACTAAAGAGTTGAATATATAGATTCCAATTGCATTTTTAAAGAGAGAACCGTGGATATCCTTTCCTCCCCTATCAAGTATCCTCAGGGACAGTCTGTTTGTCCAGGGGAAACAAGGTTATTTTATTGATTGAAGATGATGTCAGACCCCTGACAGTGGCATGATTAAAGCTGTGGGCAGATTAAAGGTTGCAGAGTTCATAACTATTTTAATTCTTGTGCATGAGACAAGGAATCTTTTCCTTTCCTTTCTCTAATAAATAAATGGAGTAGTGTTCCCCTTCTTATGTGACTCTTATCATGTAGATGAACATAAGTTCTTTAAGGAAAAAATAATCAGTAAACTGGAGAGGAATCAGCAAAGCTTTTTTCTTAGACGGATTTCTTTTCCTCTTTTAAACAGAAACAAAAAAGGCCAGGGGGCGGGGTGGTGGGGAGGGACAATCTGTGTCCGGTTGACATAAAGTGGTTTGGGTTTTAAGAAGGATATGGAGGAGAGGGGACAAAATTAAAGGACGAGAGTAAGATTTTGGGTATGTAAAGTTTTCTTGGTGAGGAGCTGGGTGCCAGGAGCAAGCCAGTCAAAATCAGCATGAAGAATCTAAATAGTACTGGAAAAGAATTGTAGTGGTTTCTCACCAGGGGCTCAAGTTTAAAAGCCTTGGGCTGTTTTCTGCGTGTTTCAGTTGAAGAAAAAAAAAAGACAACTGTTTTGTTCAAAATTGAACAATAGAAGCACAGCGGTTATTTACCATAGCTCTGTTAATAGCCCAGCTTTGATTCCAATTAGAAGTTGTTCCTCTGTTTTGAAATTAGGGGAGACACCCCAAAATAATTACCTTGCATATTGGAGGTGATTTTGCTTTTGCTTGTGATTATACGTTGGACCGAAACAAGATGGAAAGACAAATTTCCATGTTTGTTCACCATATATCTGTTCATTTTATTTTTGGCAACATTGCAAGGAAATAATGTTAAATTAATCACTGTGTGGTTTTGTGGATTTTTTTTTTAAACTTGGATGTTTTGGACATGCTCCCAAAATACAGGGACGCTTGTGTGCTTCCTTTGCATTGCTTTGCTCCTCAAATGGTGTCCCTGGTGTGGATTAAAGGCTTTCCTTTAAGTGATATGAGTGAGTCATGGCTAGGCCAGGGCAGAAAATAGGAATGTGGAACATGTGCCTCTCACCTAAACACAAACTCTTCAGTTTCATAACCATTTTGGTTGGACCTGCAGGGTTTTTCTGAGGGTCAAAGGAGTAATTCGAAATGAGGACTATGTCAGATCCATATCTGGTGGGCGTTTGCATCTAGTCTCTATAATGTGAGTCCAGTAGTTTCCTTTTGTGGAGATACTGGGGCAGTGGAAGTGCTGAGAAAGCAAGTTGAGGCATCTTCTTGGAGAAGAGTTGCTGCTATGTGTGGAGAAGGGCGATCACTTTTGCTACTCCAGTAAGAATGGATGGGCCATTGATCAGATTGTAAGCTCTGTGAGGGCGGGAACTATGTGTTGTGCGTCCTTTGTAACCCTCATTGTGTTTAGCACAAGGCTGGAAAATGTGTGGAATAGCCAGGATGCAAGAAGTACTTAATGACTTGGTTGAAAAGAAGCTTGGGTTTTCTTCTGCCCCTCTGAGGCTGTAGCAGTTAAATCAGGAGCTTCACCGAGTGTTCTCTTTTTGTCTAAAATCTACCTTTTGATGACTGCCTTCCCTTCTGTGATGTGGGCCACTGAGTCTCACCTTTCCTGCTACTGATAGCAGTTTAAATGTTGCACCCAAAAGGTGACTGTGGTTATAGCTTTTGTTGTCACCTACCACTCCAAGTCAGAATGGAAGCAGCTGCTCCTGGGGGCTGTGAGGCTAGAGCAGAGCAATCCTGAACATTTCCATCCCCTGGAGACTGGACGACCCCCTGAACACAGCCGCTGGAGAGTGAGGTTTCTTTTTGTCCTTGTGGAAATGGACTCTGCCACTCACATAAAAGGCAAGCACACGGCAGGTAAAGTCATCCCCTTGGAAGGACTGGTTTGGTTAACTGTTGGCCATTGGTGGCAAAATAGAAACGACGTTTTTATTTCTCCCTCCCTCCCCTTCCTGACCATTTCAGAGTGACCAGTGGTTGGACTCTTGGCGGCGCTTACCCTGAACCTGAGTGTTAGGGGAGAGGGAATCTGCCGTTGCGGTTTCTGGAGCTGCTCATAAGCAAGAATTCCCTATCCTGAGCAAGGCTTTAAGCCTAAAAGAAAGCAGAAATAGGTATGGACCATTGGTGTGAGTGGGTGCCGGTGTGTGCGTGCGAGCCCGGGTGTGTGCAGGGCGGGGCGGGTGTGGGGTGGGAGGGGGTGGCGCGCTCTTCAGAGTCTGCATTTCCCTGCCTTTCAGGAAGGGTTTCTAAGTGATTTTGTTTGAACCATACATGCTCCCATTTCTATTTTTTGGAGAGAGGTAGTTTTCTAGTCATCTTTCCAGTTTCAGGCTCCAGCAGAAATTTATATGTTATACCTGTCAGCCTAATAGAAAATCGCAATCTGACAGTTTAAGTACAGGAGTCCCAGAGGGTCACTGCAAGAGGGGGAAAGTGGACTTAAGGGCAGGTTGCTCAGCCCCTTGGTGTGTACTTCCCCCCAGAATATGATGAATGGGATTTAAAAGGGGCCTTTGGAAGGTTAACTGTGGGGTGAAACTGCTCAATAGAACAATTAGAAACCAGGTAGCAGTAATCATGCAAGAAGTGCAAAAGGAGGGGGAATGACCTTTTTCCATCTACCACACGCATCTTTTGGGTCACTCCCTGCAAGACTAAAGGAAAGGGGGTCATGTTTCCAGAGAGACTGGAGACTATTTCAAATCATAGAAGTCAGGGCCTGGGAGCCAGGACTCCAAAGTTCTCATCTAGGAACCCGAGGCTGGTTAGGTTGACCTAATTGTGACTTTTTGTGTGACATCATGTCCATTCTCCAACACTACTTAAGATCCTTGAAGTGAAAGTTTCACTACTGAATATTAGTATTGAATTGCAGGACTTAACATGACAGATTCTGTCCAAAGATTTTATGAGCCTCTAATGAATTTTCATAGACTATGCTGTGCAGAGAGAGAGAGAAGAGAGAGGTCACCTACTACCATTTTTCAGGTGGGAAAACAGAAGCCAAGAAAAGAGGAATCAATTGCTTAGGTTAACCTGTAAACCCACAGCATGATTAGAATTTGAGTTTTAAGTTGTCTTTACTACTGATATCCATTTCACTCAACCCATATTATTTCCCTAAGAAGAATTGGGGTGGGGGAAGGGATATGGTAATCATACCCTTTCCAGAAGGATGACCTTTTAGTTTTTCAATTTCTAAATGCTGTCAGTGGCACACTTCAAATAAAGAGGGCTTTCCCTTTAAGCTCCTCCTACCCAACAACAACAACAAATTCTCAATGACTATTTCTGGATGGCTGAAAGAGAAACTTTGTCAATAACAATTCTCCCAAGCCCTTCTCTTACTAAGCCAAGGAGTATCCAAGATGGACAATACAAAAAGGACTTTTTAAAAAAAGATATGTTTCAGAGTTTTATGAGATCAGAGAAAAAGATTTGCATCAAGCAGAGATCATTTCTATGTGGTGCAAGCCAAGCTCTCTTCACTTTTTATTTATTTGAGTTATTATTTGGCATTTTGTAGCTCCCTCCACATGCTGAACAGCTTTACAGATCCTGCCTATGGGGTAATTTCCCTCACTGTCCTTCCCCCGCTGCCACAACCATAAGAGTTGGATTTTTCATTTCACTAGAATACAGAGAGATGAACTTTGTAAGGACCTAGGAAAATTGCCCTCTCTGATCACCCTACTTGGCTGCTTCACGTTTCCCCAGTGCTTTTAGGAGTTAAGTCAAGATTGAATACTTAACCCAGGCTAAAAGTAAAAGAGGAAACAGAGGGCTCTTATGCCTCTTGTTCCTCATCATGTCAGTTAGAGCCAGAAGCCGCCAACAATTAACTGATTAATTCTAGATTCAGTTCTCTACTTTGTCTCTGCAGTGGAATCCTCACCCCCAAATACTCATTTTCTTCCCCTTTAGAGGACTGATTTATCCATCACCTGGATGTTAAGCTTCCTGTTTCCCCTTCCCAGGTCAAGGGCAGCCCAGGTGCCCAATTTCTCTCTCTCTTCACAAGGCACCACCAGCAATAGAGATGAGAAATTCTGAAGAACAGCCAAGTGGAGGAACCACAGTATTGCAGCGTCTGCTACAAGAGCAGCTCCGCTATGGCAATCCTAATGAGAATCGCAACCTGCTTGCCATACACCAGCAAGCCACAGGGAACGGCCCTCCTTTCCCCAGTGGCAGTGGGAACCCAGGCCCTCAGAATGATGTGTTGAGTCCCCAAGACCACCACCAACAGCTTGTGGCTCATGCTGCTCGACAAGAACCCCAGGGGCAGGAAATCCAGTCAGAAAACATCATCATGGAGAAGCAGCTTTCCCCTCGAATGCAGAATAATGAAGAACTCCCGACCTATGAGGAAGCCAAGGTCCAGTCCCAGTACTTTCGGGGCCAACAGCATGCCAGTGTTGGAGCTGCCTTCTATGTCACTGGAGTGACCAACCAGAAGATGAGGACTGAGGGACGCCCGTCAGTTCAGCGGCTCAATCCTGGAAAGATGCATCAGGATGAAGGACTCAGAGACCTTAAGCAAGGACATGTTCGCTCCTTGAGTGAACGACTAATGCAGATGTCACTGGCCACCAGTGGAGTTAAGGCTCATCCGCCTGTTACCAGCGCTCCCCTCTCCCCACCACAACCCAATGACCTCTACAAGAATCCCACAAGTTCCAGTGAATTCTACAAGGCCCAAGGGCCACCTCCCAGCCAGCATAGCCTGAAGGGCATGGAACACCGAGGCCCCCCACCAGAGTACCCCTTCAAGGGCATGCCACCCCAATCTGTAGTGTGCAAGCCCCAAGAGCCAGGGCACTTCTATAGTGAGCATCGTCTGAACCAGCCAGGGAGAACAGAGGGGCAACTGATGAGGTATCAGCATCCCCCTGAGTATGGAGCAGCCAGGTAAGAGAGTTCCCTTTCTGTCATTCCCTGACCTCATCCCCAACCAGCTTCTGCTGTGTGTTGGGAACCTTAAGGGAAGGAATGGGCAGGTGTTTGGTATAACAAACTCTGCAGTGCATGGCTGGCCCCTGGCTTAGCACATTTCCTGCCAACCTGAATTTCTAGCCTCTTCAGCAGTCACTAGCCCTGTATTAACATACCCTTGACTTTATAGGTTGAGCATGGCCCCAGCTGCCTAGTGGCTGAACAGGAGCACAAGTCTTGATTTCAGCAGCTTTTCGCTGTCCGGTCTCCTCAGATATTGAAGGAAGAGTCAGTGTTCCTCTTCTTGTGAATTATTAAGCCCTTCTTTGAGGGGAAGTAAATTATCTTGCACTTGAGTCTGGAATATCCTGTCACTTTCATTCATTCTCCTCCACAGAGCTCTCTTCACTAACTTTTGTAAACAAATCTTCCTGCAGAATTTGTATGATTTTCTCAGACACTGAACAAACATCCAGATATTATTGTTGGGAGAACTATATATGTACAGGCTCAGAATGTGACTTGCCGTGTACTGTCTTGCAGTTCCTGAAGTCTGGACTGCTTCATCTTTCCTCTGTAGAGAGTTTGTTAGCTGCCGGTGACGTTTTTAAACATCTAAGTCCAATTCACCTCATATCATATAGATGCTAAAATGCAGAAGGAAAAATATTCCCATGGCTTCTGTACAACTTGCCATTAGTTCAGGAGGACTGTTTTGTATATTCACTAATTCCTAAATGTACTTCTGAATTATTCAGGGACCCATTGACTCATTGCTGTATCAACCAGACCTTAGGATTCTGTGATTCTGTTCATTGTTCCTATTGTTCCTGTTGGGGCCATGTCTCCAGTCAGGAGTATTTCAGCATATGGGACAGAGGGAAGGTTTCAACCCTGGGCAAAAATGATGGCAGTTATGTGTGGTATTCCTGCCTTGTTACCATGGGTAGTTATGGGTGGCTTTTGTCCATAGGCAGCCCCTAGACGAGGCCTGTGATCTCTTTGATGCCTAACTTTTTGCCTCCTGTCCCCTCCTACTCATTTGGGGAAGAGTCTCTTGGCTTGAAGTATAGTGGGTGACTCAAGAAAGAAGGCAGTCAGTGGGTGGAGTAGGGTGAAGGTTAGAGAATGCACCTGGCATTTCCTGGCATTTCATTTTTTTCACCTCTAGGCCCTGTTTTTTAGCCAGAGGCAATTCACTTTGGGCTCCACCCCTAACTTTGCCAGTTTAGGATTTTTTTAATTCCTTAACCCACGCTGATTTCCTAATCTTTTTCAACCTCCTCTGTGCAGCATTCAAAGGGCAGGAGCCTAATGTCTGATAAGTGGCTTGAAACAGGAAATGGGGTAATGGACAGGGCCCTTCCGGTTTAAATGAGTAAGAACCCAATTCCCATCTGCCCAACGAAATGGAAGACCCAGGGAGGGGTTGGTCCATTGGACTGCTTAGCTTAATGGAAACTCATCCAAACCAGCAACATGGCAGTGAAGCTGGGGGGTTTTATTTTGCTCTTTTCTGCAGCATGGAAGAGTGTGTGGGACTCCCTCCTGTATGTGAGTGGGCTGTAAGTGTATTACCTTGTGGGAGGGGAGTGTGTTGGCTGGGGTGTGGAGCAGAATCCAAGCCCCGCTCAACACATGGCCCGCCTTCCCAGGAAAGCTATTTTCAGAACTCATTCACTAGCATTGTTTGTGATCTGAAATGACTCCCACAGTGTTTGAAGCTAGATAGAAAAGCCCTTTGATCTGCCTAAAAAAAATATTAAGGAGCCCAAAGAGAGATTTTTTTCCCTCCCCATACTGATTAAACCACCAGAGAAACTTAGCTGCATATATTTAACTGGAAGGTATTTGTATTTTCTCCTCCCTCCTATGTTATCTGTGGCTCTCTCGCTCTATTCCCCAAAGCAGTAGATTCCAGGCTGATTACCCTCTCTTGGGCGGTATTTTAATACACAGGTTTGCTGGAACAGTTTTTTTTTTTTCCTCTATGGGAGAGGAATAGGGTGCTTGATATGCTCAAAGAATAATCAAGCCTAAGACAATCCTAACCAGAAGATGCTCTTTGTGAGCTTTGGGTCTGCAGCAGACAAACTCTGGCAATAAAATTTTTGCAGAGCCTGGGGTGAGGGTGTGGCACATATTGACAAACTACTGGCAATGGGAGGTCCTTGAATTGCTTTCCGTAAGTATACCGCTTTTAGGTGGTGGCACATTTTTCCTCCTTTATTTCCTTTAACCAACTAGCTGGACAGTTTGTGAGTACCTTTCCAAGTAACTGCCGCTAGCACCAAACGATTAGAAGACAAAATCCTTAGTTCTTAATCCACAAATTACAGATCAAGATTCAGAGTAAGCTCTTTGAACAAATTGTTCAAAAAACCTTTGTTGGCCTTTAGAGGTGCGGTGAAATGCGAGAGATTTGCTGTTAAAATGAACAAAACGTTATAAACAGTCTTTTTTATTACTTCATCTTCCCTATGCCCTCCTCCCCACTTAAAAAATAAATATCCTGAATGCCCAGAACTCCAGATGGGAAACAAGGCCATGCCATCTGAAGAATTAAAACTTTTCTGAATCTTTGTCTTTCTAAGTGCTGAGCCTTTTCTGCATCCGGGGTTTATACATTTATCAACTGCTTTTAAAAATTAAATCCCTTCTGTTTGTGAAGCAGCCACCTCCTTTCAATTGTTGAAATCATGCCCAGATCTGAGGTTTCTTGAAATCCTTTTTTAGTGGAATCTAAGGGTGACCTAACTCTGTAGTTCAGAGCGGAGCTGGTTGTGCAAGAGAAACAATCAGGAATTTGCAGCCCTCTCCAGGATTCAGAGAGTAACCATCACAGAGCCTGGGAAAGGCACAGTTTCTGTGGGGAGAATAAATTGGGTTCCAGGCTGTTGGCACCTGCTCTGGTGAGAGTGTGCGTGTGCGGGCTTGCACACGTGTAGGCCAGGAGTGTACAGTGTGCGTTGGGGGTGTGTGTGGGGGGCTGTGTGTCTGGGAAGGGCAGGGGCTCCCGTCAGAGAGGTGGCAGGGTGGAAGTTGCTGTGTCAGCTCAATGGATCTGCTTTTGCTTTCCCTTTGTGTCCTCACAAGCTGTCTCTGGGAGGGATTTCCCCCGGCTTTGAGGAGATGCTGATTTTGGTCACTGGCCTCTGCCCTGCGTATATGTCAGGTCTCCTTTTCCGCAGAGCACCTGGGGCCCAGGTTGTCTTAGGAAGGAGAAGGATGAAGGGAGGGAAGGGGCAGGGAGGCAGGTCAGGGCGTCCATGGGATCATGTGATTGTGTGGTCTACAGGCGGCTTGTTGTTTCTGGTTAATGTGTCAGTGGGGAGAGATTCCTGCTGCTGTGCGGGGGGAGGAGCTGGGGGGGGT